CAAAATTGACCATAGTTGACCATATTTGACCATATTGACTGGTCAATTGACCAATTAATTGACATGTTTTTAATTGACTGGTCAATAACCCATCCCTAGTTGGGGGTATATGCCAACATGGCTAAGATCCCCCCTCTCACTCCAAGATTTTGTAATCGTCGTATTTGTCTTTATGTGATATGTCCTTTGCTCTGCATTTGACATGATTCCCTGTCCATGTGCACATCACATTTGCATTTAGAGACATTGTAAGTCTTACAAATATTGCAAGTATCTGGGGACCAGCTGGGGGAGCTGGGGATTGTGAAAATGAAACTTGTAATTTAAAAAAGGACATGAGGTTTTCTTTCTGTAGCATTTTCTCCAGAGTTGACAAAATTAGCATCAAAAACATGGATTTGCATATAGTGCTTTTGGGCATATATAAATTAAATGTAGTGGAGCTAAAGAGAAAGGAGACAAGGTCGTAACCTTTCCTTCCAAGTCGTGACCTCGGATTGGATCTCGGCGTAGAGGGTAAGATAAGTAAATTTGCCGACGACACCAAGATAGGTTTTACCATCAGGGGGGAGGCGGATAGGGCTGGAGCCGAGCGAGATTTAAGGCTTTTGGACGAGTGGAGCAAGAAATGGCTCATGAGGTTTAATAAAAGTAAGTGTAAAGTTCTCCACGTCGGTCGAAACAACGGTAGGTCTCTCGACACGTTCGGCGATGTTAAATTGGATGAGGCAAACGGAGAGAGAGATTTAGGTGTTTCTATCGATGAGGACCTCAAGTTTTCCTCGCACGCGCAAGCGACGGTGGCCAAATGCAATAGGATTCTAGGTTACATTCGTCGGTCGGTTGCAAGTAGGACATCTCGCGTTATTCTTCCGTTGTATGCGGCGCTGATAAGACCCCAGCTGGAATATTGCATCCAGTTTTGGAGGCCTACAAATAAGGGCGATTTGTTGGCGCTCGAGGGAGTACAGAGGAGGGCCACAAGAATGATTAAGGAGGTCAGGGGACTATCATACGAGAAGCGTTTAGAAGTGTTGAGACTGTACTCGCTCGAACGAAGGTTAAGGAGGGGCGATCTCATCCAGGCTTTCAAGATAATTAAAGGAATAGATAATGTCGAGTGTGGTAGGTTTTTCCAGTTTGATGACAGCAAGAGAACGAGAGGTAACCGACTTAAGTTGCGCAAACCGCAGGTGCGGCTCAGGTCGAGACAGGAATTCTTTACTTGCAGAGTGGTGAACGCGTGGAATGCGTTAGATGACGAAGTAGTGACTGTCCCTTCTGTGACTATCTTTAAGAAGAAACTAGACGCTTTCATGGACAGGCAAAAAGGTGGGGGGCAATGTTGACGTAGGTACTAGACAGTAAGCAACAAACAAACAAACAAACAAAAATACAAAAATATTTAGCTTTAAGAGGGTTAGGCCTGCCCTAAAATTAAGGAACGCTCGACCTCGACACGTGATATCGAAATGGGCGAAATCGCCTCTTGATATCACTGACTCTCCTGACTCCTGACTCCTGGAGTGGCGGGGTACGTAGAGACCTTTGAATCTTGGCAGGATTTGGTGCCCTTGCTTTTTTATAAAGCTTTTCTGAAAGCAAAAGCACTTTTCTGGCTAATTGAGATGTATCTCTCATCATGCTCAATGCATGAATGCCAAGAGGATGTAATGGATGGTCCATATAATTAAATTTTTTGTTTTGCCTTGATTCACCCTAATGACTTTGCCAGGAACTTTGAATGGTTTCTTTGTGTGATGAACAAAAGAATCTTCCTCCAGGCAAATGAATGCTCATGAAACCAGAGATGATGTAATTTCTTTTGATGATGCAAGGTACTATACCAGCATACAGCTCTATGAAGTGGTGTCAATCACTTGTCAGTCATCAATGGATGTTGAGGAGTGCTCTGTTTACCAGCTCACTCCATCGTTGGGCACATTCTTCTCCTCCCTTCCTCAAGAAACATCAACCTCGGGTGAAAGTGAGTTTCTTGTACTGCTTGAAATAGTGGGTTGTGGTTATTAACCCTTTCACTCCCAAGCCTAAGTAGGTAGAACATGCATAAATTCCCTAGCTGGTTTTATACCACATTGCAGATAGTTATTTGAAAGATTATAAGTTCAATTTAGCTATAAGCACATTAGCTATTAGGACATAAAACCAGTGCCAATAAATCTTTGGAATTTTAGTGTGAATATGAAGAGCCAATATATATTTGCACCTTAAGATTCAAAGGGTTAACTTGTATAGAAAAATAATTTATGATTATATGCAAAATATGCAATGTGATTCATGTCACATATATGGTCTATCTCAGGGGTATCCAACTGGTAGCCTGTGGGCTAGATCCGACCTGCCAATTCATTTCTTCCAGCTCGTGAATTCCTCTTCAACAGTTGGTTTAGGGAAATTGTTGCAAATTTCACGTGTTCACATTAAAAATGTGGTGTATGTGGTGTGAGATTCATTAGTGAGGCCCCCAAACACACCTGAACCAAATCATTTGATCCCGCCAAATTGAGTTGAACACCTTGAACACAGAGTCAATCTTATATAATCATGTACGAGAACTTAGGAAAAGGAATACTTGTCAAATATATGGAGCAACAAGTAGAGTTAGGCATCTGAAATTTGTGTAACTCTAATAAGTCTCTCTTGGAGCATATGTAAATTATTCCCAGCTGGAGACATCCATAGCAGATCAAATAAGAAACATATGTGATGCCATGTCATTCTTGCTTATCTTGATCAAATTTGAAAATGTCTTCAGGATTGGCTACATAGGATACATAGGATAGGCACTTAATCTGTTACTTTAAAGAGTTGCAAAATTAAAGATTAGAAAACCCTTTCTGATAGGTTGAAAATGAAACATGCTGAAGTGTGAAAAACAAGGAAGTTTATATTAGTACTTCAAGGTTGTACAGGGTGGTCCACAATTGTCTCCCCAAAAGTAAAAGCTTATTACTCAGGAAGTATACATCCGATTTCAATTATATATTTGTCTCAAATGAAGGCCAATTCAATATATTTTTATTGTGGAAAATTTCAGCATTCCATATTAAACTAGAACAAAGTAACATCCTTATAAATGAAAGCTGCCAAATATTAAGTTTTCAATTTGACTTCCAGAATTTTCAATGACTTGGTGCAGTCTCTCTTTGAATGCCAGCAGAATTCTTTCAATCATCTCTGGTCCTACTGTGGCAAAGGCATCTCTAATGGCCTTTTTCATATTGTCATAAGTCCCCTGATGAATCTCTTTAGGTTCAGAAACCTCATTTGAATTGTCTTCATGATCTCATCAGGAACTGATGGATCTAAACTGAAGAAATTTCCACGTTTTCCCAGTAAAAATTTGCTCTCTTCAAATTATCAAACCAATTGGAAATATTTGTTTTCTGCAGGTTCTGAGGTCGCCCGTGACACAGACAATTCCTTGTGATGCATGAAGAACCCACAAATGAATTATGAAACTCAAGGTGGAATTGTGAATTTCAGAAGGGATTGTGATATTCACATGCTTTAGTTGCACAATATGGGTACTTTCATTTGTTATGGTGTGACTTTGTTCTAATTTCATATGGAATGCTGAAATTTTCCTCAATAAAAATATATTGAATTGGCTATCATTTGAGTCATATATCATTGAAATCGCATGTATACTTCCTGAGTAATAAGCTGTTACTTTTGGGGAGACAATTGTGGACCACCCTGTACTACAGTGCTTTTGCGATGAGTTCTCTCACCCAGAAAGGGCACTAATACTTCTGGTATTTTGATTCCAGGAACATCTACCAGTTCACATCGAGTGTGAGACCAGAGGACATGTTAGTTCCACCAGGGTCAGTAGACCCATAGAAAACAATGGTTGCTTGAAAAGGTTGTATGGACTCATTGCAAAAGCATTCTAGTAGTTCAGTTGACAGGTTAATTGTTGTTTGACTATTGCCTACTAATAAAGAACCACTGATGATGCTCAGATCTTGAGGAGGTGAATTATGAACCAGTGGGAAATGCTCCTATCATAATGGGGATCTGGAACCCACCTCTACTAATGATTCAAAATGTGTATCATTCCCTTCTAGGCCTTTGGCTTCTGTAGGCATAGAGCATATTCACATTTCCAGCCTAGGCCAGCATGATATAGTTTTGCAATATTTCCCATTGCTTCATTTGGAAAAGTATCTAAGTTGCCATGCAGGATATTAAACCCTATGTAAAATATATATGTAAATACTTATGAATGAAACATGTGTTTTTATACTAGCTCAATGCATGGGAAGACTTAGTGTGGATCATATACTACAACCTTTTGAATTATTACACAAAGCATTATATATATTTAGTCATATATTTTTTGCAGAAAGCATGCATGATGCATATGTACTCTCAATGTATGAAAGACCTTTAAAGATACACATACGTAGCCAGATACATTTTCATATATGCCCATTCTTCACACTTGATCACATATATGAATCATCATTCTGTCCATGTATTAGGGGCAGTCTAATGAAAATGGGACATTGCTGTAAGGTATGATTTACCCCATGTCCTGTTTTCATTTGACTGCCCCTCGTATGTGTAACATAGGAATAATCTTCACATGGCTTATATACTTCAAATTTATGTGTTCTCATGCACATAGCTGCATTTATCAATACATGAAGAATATGATGAATATGTCACACATGGCTGCTTATAACTGTTGTATGTGATATTTTTGCATGGGGAAAGAGTAGGATGTAGTGTAGTGTACATATTCATATACCTGTATTACCCAAATATGGATTTCAGGCCTGTTGTAATAATGCATTTAGCTTCCAATTTTGATGAGGGCAGCAGGTTATCTTCAGGAACTAAATTGTATGCAATGTCAGAGAATGTAAGTGTAAGCCCTCAAGTCCAGTGGATCAAGTAACAAATTTGGGCCAAGCATCAAGCTAGATTTGCCATTAGTGATGATGCTAACAGGTCTTTATTTTTCTCAGGAATTATCAAAGATCCCTCATAAGATCCAGCAGAAGCAGTCCGCTGCAATTATTTCAGTCTGGAAGAATATGACTGTCCAAGACTTGGCTGCTGCAATGGGCAGAGACATTGGTGAGCCCCATTGATTCTTCATTTAAGACCTGTTCTAGGAAAAGGGATAAATGTAATTATTTTCTTAATCAAGTTTGTAATGAGTACTCTATGCATGACATACTTTCAAAGGTCTTAATTTCATGTGGATTCAGGGAAATTTTAGACTTTTTGGAAATTGAAAATTTAATTGAGAAAAACAGCTTCAAGGTTTTGAAGCTGTTTTGGATCTCAAGGATAGCCCTAGGAGAGAATAGATTTCCACTTAAAGAAAGAAATGATTTGGGGTAATAATAAAATATAATAATAAATATATAATAATAATTATTATTATTAGTATTATGCACAATAATAACATTCAAAGTGTTCTGGAAACATAAATAAGATGAGATAAAAGATAAGTAGAAAATTCCAAAAGTGCAAAACTTGCAATTTCACTTAGATGCTTTTTTTGGATCTTTTTTTATGTGCTGTCTTCAACATTATTATTCTTTTCCCAGATTGGACTGCATTTCCATGTATAATTGCAATTCTTATTTGTTTAATTTATTGGGACTGAAGGTAGGTATGTATGACAACATGTGCAGGCAAAGGATGAAACAGCACTGTGAATACCACCTGTCCATGATGAAGAAGAAGGTTGAGGATGTACCAAATCATGCATTAAGCATCTTCTCTCCTGTCAATGTACCTACCAGCCCATTCTGGTTCAGGTCCACCTGGTCCTGTCATTCTTTGCCTTAAATTACCAAATGGAAGTAATCAAATAAAAAATGAACTGCTTGGTAGATTTATTGATTTGCCTAATTATTAAAGGGGGGGTCTATGGAAATCTACATTCTAATACACAATTAACCAAATCACCTAACTGTGAAGGAGAGGTCATTATAATGGTGAGAGTGGTCTCATAGTAACTGTCACAGTTTGTAAGCTTGCACGAAAAATATAACACATTAATTGATTAAGTTTAAAAGTTAATTATTCAATAGTATTTTCCACATCTTACTTCTATAGTGTTCTCTCTTGGATATAAATACTGTCTCTTGGGCCTCAACAATGTTCTCTGCAGCTGATTAACAATTGTATTTTCTCTTACTGCTAATTTAAAATTAACCCCAAGTTCATTACATCTGTTGACATTTTGTCACCTGTGAAGTGGGTCCCGCAGGACATAGGTGTGGTCTAGTTCTTAATATTCCACAAAAGACATCTTGTGTGAACTTGATCCAGTCATTATGTCTTCTATCATGATTATTTCCTCCAGGTTTCATTAGAATATCTTTAATAGTTTATGATGTTTATCAAGTTTTAATAGTTTACAAAGTGCAGTGTTTCTTTGCAAAATTTTGAAAAACAGGTTTTGATTATTATAACTTTGAGAATCCTCATGGTATTAAATGGTTAAAAAAAAATGATATCAGGGCTATTCCTGAAGTTCTTGGAATTTTGATTACAAGACATTACAAATTATATATGCAGAGCATTTCAAGAGTCACTTCTGCACATGCAACACTGTACACGCAACAACTGGACCAACTACACCAAGAGCTACTCCAAAAGCAACTGGCACTGGTCAATCGAAAGGGGGTCATTCTTCTGCATGATAATGCTTGACCGCATACTTCTCGAATTGTGAAACAAAAATCATGGAGCTGCAATGGGAAGTTTTGGCACATCCACCATACTCTCCAGATCTTGCGCCATTAGACTACCATTTGTTTCGCTCGATGCAGAACCATCTGACAGGAAAATTTTTCAAAATGAAGATTTCAAAAACAAAATAGCTGCCTATTTTGTTTCAAAGCCAACGGATTTCTACAGAGGAATCCTGCAACTACCAAAAAGGTGGCATGAGGTTGTTGATTCAAATGGTAAATATATGATTGATTAGTGTGTATTATATTGAATAAAGTTATCACTTTTAAAAAACCAAAAAAAAAAGCCATTTCAAATGAATCAACCTCATATTTATCCCTTGATCATAGACCCTGAGAATGATTTCATACTCTGATGCCAACTACAGTGTGATACAAAAGTCACTTGACAAATGAGAAAAAAAAACAAATATGTCTAAAATCTTTGTTTTTGCTTCATAGGTGTTCACTAAATACATGTTATAATTCGCTGTCATGAAATTTTCGGCACCAATTGAACAAACTTGGTGCTGAGAAGGTGATGGTGTGGTGTGGTCTGCTTGATGACATGGTTGTGGGACCATACTTCTTCGAAGGGCATGTGGACCAACACACATTTGGGCAAGTGTTAGACACAACTGTAGCTGATTTTTTCACGATTTGCCACCAAATACACTACACAAAATGTTGTTCCAACTGGACGGTGCCACTCCCCACTTTGCTCTCACGATCCATCAGAAACTGAATAACCTGTTTGGTAATCATTGGATTGGACGGGGTGGATCTGTGTCATGGCCCCCTTGATCACGTGACCTCACTCCCCCAGATTTCTTCCTCTGGGATGTTATGTTAAACAGCATGTGTTTATGACGGAACCTGCATCCCTCAAAGACCTTAAAGACCACATCACTCGTGTTCTTCAGCAAATCGCACCAGCAACACTAGCAGCCATCAGAAATGAACTAAAGAAACGTTTGGAGCACTGCATTGTGGTTCACAGAGAACACTTTGAGCATCTCTGCTAGTTCGGAAATAAAGATTTTAGGCAAAGGGGTTTTTTCTCATTTGTCAAGTGACTTTTGTGTCACACTGTATTGCCCAAGACCATGAAAGACCTTGCAGTAACACGTTGACGACCAGCCTATTTTTGCTTGTCCGCCGCGTGGGACCACGTGCATTTTTTTTGTCAAAAAATGCGTCCTGCCATCAGGACGCATGGTCCCAGAAAACGTTTTTTTTTGCCAAGTTTTTTTAAAATGTTGAATTTTTTGGAATTTTTATCAGTAATTACGAAATCATAATCTTCTGGAACGTTCTCAACAGTTCCAGAGGGTATTCATTGAAAAAAAATTGCATCCTGGCATCAGGACGCATTGTCGCCAACGTGTTAAGCTGAAGTTCTAAAGCTGTCACTTAGATCTTGAACCTTAACTTTCAAAGTCATTAAGACTGGAAGACCTTGAACAGTAGGCTAATGCATGAAACACACTCTACATCACTCAGATGAGAGGTCCTGGTAGTTTGAACATATGCTAGAATATTTTCGTACCCAGCATTTGCCACAGTCCATATGTTTGGCAGGCTCCACGAATATAACTTTAAAATGGAACTGGCTCTTTGGTTTTAGTGCTGGAGGATGAATGACTATAGTTATGAGATTATGAGCTCTACAAAAATTTCTTAATTTGCTGAAAAAAAAAAAAGAGTTGTCAATAATGGGCAATTAACCCTTTGAGGAGTGGGTTTTTTTAACATCTAGATCACCTGTAGTGAATACATGGAGGCTGCAGGATGTCAGCCCATATATATGTGGGCATACTCATCAAAGGGTTAAAAGGAGGTCAATTGACTGACCCATCTCTACATTGATTGCATCTTACCATGTCCCATGGAATGCCCTGTAAGTGCTTAGATTTCAATCACAGCTTGCAAATAGTCAGGCAGTAAGACTCACCGCTTCTTCATTTATTTATCTTTGACATTTATCTGAGGATGCATTTTCTACATCTTTGATGTACTCCTAACTGGAACAGCATTGCTCATGAGAGAGGCTATTCAGTCAGAGAACCAATGGTGCTCTGAGAAATTACACTCCTCATGAACACTGGATAGGATATCTCTGGGATATTTCGACTGGCTTCTTCACTAAAGGAGTTCTCTCAAGAAGCTACTCCAAGATTTAAAACATTCACCTGTACCATGAGATCCTATGCCTATTGGAAAGAGAATGGCTCCATCTATACCCATCAAGTTCTCTGCTGGAATGCCATATCTGACTCATCAGTATGATATGACAGTAACAGATCTGATTTTTTCTGGTTGCTTTTATGTTTATTGTATGCTTCATTCTTTTATATCATGAGTTGTGACTGTTGCTCTATTGTGTCCTCAGTGTGTGTATGTTTGTAGACCAGGTCTTCGAGGCTATGCTGTATGTGGAGAATGCCGATGCGTATGACTCTCCAACATCCCAGATCAATCAGTTGGGAGTGATAGTGGAGACAGTTAAGAGATGCGGAATGCGATGTGTGACCATTGCAAGCCCAGATTCCATTCATGATTTCTCCTCTGATTCAAAAGATGTCACTCGACGGTTAGTTATTTGACCAGACCTGTTCTCACTGTCAGGTTTATTTCATTTTATTATTCCTCCATTGCATCATGGTCATTACCAGGCCTCCTCCTGACCGAAAGATGATGGTGAAATGTCCACCTGTTGTCACCATCATGGGACATGTGGACCATGGAAAAACCACATTGCTTGATTCTCTCAGGCATTCTCATATTGTGGAAACTGAATATGGTGGGATTACCCAACATATTGGAGCCTTTTCAGGTAATCCTATTAATCATTATTCACTGTATATCCCCTCTCCTAGTGATTGGAATGTGTGTTTAATAACAGTTTCAAAACACCTTGGAATGTGTGCTTGATAACAGTGAAATTGGAGACAGGGGAAAGTGTGACCTTCTTGGACACACCAGGACATGCAGCTTTCAGTGCTATGAGAGCACGTGGAGCCACTGTCACTGACATTGTTGTACTTATTGTTGCTGCTGATGATGGTGTGAAGGAACAAACCATTGAGTCTCTTCACCTTGCTAGAGAAGCTCAAGGTGCCATTCTCCCATTTTCCCTTCTTGATCTGATTCTTTACATATCAACTCATACTGAAGACTCCTTTCTTCCAGTTCCCATCATTGTGGCAATTAACAAGATTGACAAAGTGGGTGTGGACCTGGTGAGAATCTCAAATCCTGTATAAGTACTCAGTAAAGAAAAACCAAGAGATTGTGTCCATGGAATTCCCTGTGATGTTCTATGAAGATGAAGTATGAAAATTGGGTTTCCTCAAAGTTTAGGAATTAAACTTTCTGGAGTTTCTCATTGAAGATGATGGGGGAATTTTCAATGAATATTCAATTTCTTAGTTTTTCTTTAAGACTAGTATAGGGTAAAGCATCCTGTGATGGATTGTGGTAGATTTAGTCCAAGATAGCTAAGGATGGCATTAATGAAGGATGTGAATTACAATTTCTGATCAGTGGTGGTCATATGTTTGCACTATTTTGTAAAACAGTGATGTCAAGAAAAACGCAGCCTCCTGACTAGAACATGATCCATCGCTGGTTGATGATCTATCTCTGGGTGTTTTACCCTATGAGTGGCAAATGGCAGAGAAAAAAAAAGCCAATAAAAAATTATTCTGATAGACAGGCCATCAGGATTTAATGAATTCTGTATTTCACAACTGTTAGATACAGTGGAGGGCAAAAAAAAAAGGCTCTTAGATTTTGGTGAATTTCAACTGCTGGAAGCAATGAATTTCGAAATATTTTTTTTCACAGTTTCCTTATACATTATTCTATAGATATACAAGAGGCAATAATTGATTTTATCTCCCTCTGAATCAATAAGAGTCAAACATCTCTCTTTCATCAATGTGATCAAATGATTTATGCTTAACATGTCAATTCTTTGCCATTTTTCATGCAAAAATTGGTCCAATTCATTGAGATTTTTCTGCCTCCATTTCTCCATGCATTGCTTCAGAACAGACCATAAGTTTTCAGTTGGGTTTACATCTGAACTGCATGGTGGCCAGTTGATCTTTTCAGGTACATGCTGTTCCAAAATTTGTTTTGCTACCCTATTTGCATGCTTCAGATTATCATCTTGCTGGATCATCAAAACTGTCTTCTTGCACCAGGGAGTAGATTTTCTTGAAGAATTTGAGTGTAGTAGGGGCCATCTATTAGGTTGCTGCAAAAGTCCTGTTGGTATTGACAACTTTATTTTCTCAACTTTAGAGCTTTGCAACAAGCGAGGCCTAATCAACCACATATTCGCCATAGTTGCAGATGACCTTCGTCCATCTTCTGGGCAGGTCATGGATGCCTTCTCTGTAGAAGGACTTGGGCTTCAAGGCGAAGAAGTCTGCGAGGCCGGTTTCCATGGCCTGTCGATTGGTGAAGCTCCTCCCAGCCAGGTGATTTTTCAGCGATCGGAATAGATGATAGTCAGAAGGGGCAAGGTCCGGGGAGTACGGTGGGTGACAGATCACTTCCCAGCCGTACCCCTGTAGCGTGCTGCGGGTGACGTTCGCGACGTGTGGGCGCGCGTTATCGTGTTGGAAAAACACGTGGCCTGCCCAGTAAGGATCGGAGTCCAGTTTCGCTTTGAGATTTGC